CCCACGGGGATGATCCCGAATCCACTGCCCAGAACCTTCAGCTTGCGGATGGCGCGCAGGAGATCGTCCCTGCACGGACAGACGGACACACGGACACACTGACGGACTGACAGCCCAGATCTGGACAGACTGACTGACAAACAGACTGACACACTGACAGCCCAAATCTGGACAGACAGACACACTGACAGACAGACAGACAGACACACTGACACACTGACTGACAGCCCAGATCTGGACAGACAGACAGACAGATAGACAGACACACTGACGGACACACTGACAGCCCAGATCTGGACAGACTGACAGACAGACTGACAGCCCAGATCTGGACAGACAGACTGATGGACTGACTGACAGCCCAGATCTGGACAGACAGACAGACAGACAGACAGACACCCCACAGGGATGATCCCAAACCCGCTGCCCAGCACCTGCACCCACAGCAGGGTCGTCTCTGGATGGACAGACAGACAGACTGACAGCCCAGATCTGGACAGACTGACAGACAGACAGACTGACAGACTGACTGACTGACTGACAGACTGACACACTAGATCTGGACAGACAGACAGACTGACAGACTGACAGCCCAGATCTGGACAGACAGACAGACTGACTGACACACTGACAGCCCAGATCTGGACAGACTGACAGACACCCCAGATCCGCTGCCCAGCACCTTCACCCACAGCAGATCATCCCTGGGACGGACAGACGGACAGACGGACTGACACCCCAGATCTGGACAGACAGACAGACTGACAGACAGACACACTGACACCCCACAGGGATGATCCCAAACCCGCTGCCCAGCACCTTCACCTGCAGCAGGTCGTCCCTGGACGGACAGACAGACAGACTGACAGACTGACACCCCAGATCTGGACAGACAGACTGACTGACAGACTGACACACTGACAGCCCAGATCTGGACAGACAGACAGACAGACAGACAGACTGACACCCCAGATCCGCTGCCCAGCACCTTCACCCGCAGCAGATCATCCCTGGGACGGACGGACAGACAGACAGACAGACAGACTGACACACTGACAGTCCAGATCTGGACAGACTGACAGACAGACAGACGGACTGACTGACAGCCCAGATCTGGACAGACAGACAGACAGACAGACAGACAGACGCCCCAGATCCGCTGCCCAGCACCTTCACCCGCAGCAGGTCGTCCCTGGACGGACAGACGGACACACTGATGGACTGACAGCCCAGATCTGGACAGACAGACAGACAGACACCCCAGACCCACTGCCCAGCACCTTCACCCACAACAGATCATCCCTGGGACGGACAGACAGACAGACTGACTGACACCCCAGATCTGGACAGACAGACTGAGGGACTGACTGACTGACAGACTGACAGCCCAGATCTGGACAGACAGACTGACAGACACCCCAGATCCGCTGCCCAGCACCTTCACCCGCAGCAGACCATCCCTGGGACGGACAGACAGACAGACAGACAGACTGACTGACAGACTGACAGACAGACACCCCAGATCCGCTGCCCAGCACCTTCACCCGCAGCAGGTCGTCCCTGGACGGACAGACAGACAGACAGACAGACGGACAAACAGACTGACTGACAGCCCAGATCTGGACAGACAGACAGACAGACAGACACACAGACTGACTGAGTGACACCCCAGATCTGGACAGACAGACAGACTGACTGACTGACACCCCAAATCCACTCCCCAGCACCTTCAGCTTCCAGATGGCGCACAGCAGATTGTCCCTGGACAGACAGACAGACGGACAGACAGACAGACTCCCAGGCCATTCCAGAGCCCAGGAATGGCCCCCAAAATACAGGAAAAACCATGTGGGGGAAAAACATCCTGGATTTGGATTTGGAGGACAAAAATTCTCCTGGGGTTGGATTGTGGGGAAAAATCCTTCCAGGGAAAAAAAAAAATCTTCCTGGCTTGGATTTGTATGGAAAAATCATCCTGGGGCTGAATTCATAGGGGAAAAAGATGTTGGAAAAATCATCCTGGGGTTAGATTTGGGGGGAGAAAATAATCCAATTATAAATATAATAATCCTGGGGTTTCTTTTAGGAAAAAAATCCAGGGGTTTATTTTAGGAAAAATCATCCTGGGGTTTCTTTTAGGAAATAATTCTGGGGTTTATTTTAGGAAATAATCCTGGAGTTTATTTTAGGAAATAATCCTGGGGTTTCTTTTAGGAAATAATCCAGGGATTTATTTTAGGAAAAAATCATCCTGGGGTTTCTTTTAGGAAAAATTCCAGGGATTTCTTTTAGGAAATAATCCTGGGGTTTATTTTAGGAAATAATCCCGGGGTTTTTTTAGGAAAAATCATCCTGGGGTTTATTTTAGGAAAAAATCCTGGGGTTTCTTTTAGGAAAAATCATCCTGGGGTTTCTTTTAGGAAAAAATCCTGGGGTTTATTTTAGGAAATAATCCTGGGGTTTCTTTTAGGAAAAATAATCCAGGGGTTTATTTTAGGAAAAAATCCTGGGGTTTCTTTTGGGAAAAATAATCCTGGGGTTTCTTTTAGGAAAAATAATCCTGGGGTTTCTTTTAGGAAATAATTCTGGGGTTTATTTTAGGAAATAATCCTGGGGTTTCTTTTAGGAAAAATAATCCTGGGGTTTCTTTTAGGAAAAAAATCCTGGGATTTCTTTTAGGAAATAATCCCTGGGTCTCTTTTAGGAAAAAATCCCGGGGTTTCTTTTAGGAAAAAATCCTGGGGTTTATTTTAGGAAAAAAATCCAGGTTGGATTTGTGAGGAAAAATCCTTTCAGGTGTTGGATTTTTAGGGAAAAGCCACCCTGGGGTTGGATTTTAGGGGGAATCATCCCGGGCAGGAGCAGCAGCAGAGCTGGGCTGGAACAGCTGGAGCTGCACCCCTGGGGTTCCTGAGGGGTTTTGGGGATTCCTGAGGGATTTTTGGGGGATTTTGGGGGATTTTTGGGGATTCCCAGGCACTCACGCGCTGACGTCCTGCGCGAA